CCCTCCGACAGTGCGGCACTCCCTCAGCACTGACCCTCCGACAGTGCGGCGCTCCCTCAGCACTGACCCTCCGACAGTGCGGCGCTCCCTCAGCACTGACCCTCCGACAGTGCGGCGCTCCCTCAGCACTGACCCTCCGACAGTGCGGCGCTCCCTCAGTGTTGGCAGGCAGAGGGCTGGGTAGGGTAATGTGCTGTGAAGTGGAGTCGAATAGCGAGCGAATACGATTGGAAGTGAACAAGAGCTGGCATGCTCTGTGGGCTGCCAATTACCTTCCCAGCCTGGCAGGCAGATTCCGAAGTGGCGTCCCGGGCAATCGGGAGACTGTGCCCAGAGCAGTTTGTTGAATTGACTGGCAAAGGCAGCATTTGGCCTGACTATTTAACTCTGTGACTCTGTGCTGTAAACATTGTTATACATTGGTCACAACCATTTTGAATCCTTTGCTTCCAAACCCTCTCTGCCTGAACTTGCATCCCTTGGTATGCGCAGAATATTTGCATGTAAACAATGATTTGTTTTAGCTTTGACTGTCCTGCTGTGCCTGGCGATTTCTGGAACGTTCCATGGATCCATCTTCCTGCAAACACAGGGCATTAATATTGTCCGCGGTATCTAGTAGACTGGGAGTTTGCACAGGCCCAACCCTAATCAGGCTCTCTCTGTAGCTCAAACCCTACTGCCCTGGGAGCATCCTTGTTCTACGCTTTCTTGAAGACGCTTTCCAATGCCAACAGCTGCATCCCCACCCCCCCAACCCCCCTACCCCCACCCCCACGCATCTTCCAAACTACTCCTTCCCCACTCCGACTTCGAATTTACCAGCAGCTTAGTGAGACTGCACCTCTCTCAAGGTGCGGCTCCTCCAACTCTTCCAAGCAGAATGTAAATCTCCCTCTACACTGTCCCCCCATCAAACACTCCCAGGACAGGGTAAGCACGGGGTTAGATACAGAGTAAAGCTCTGAGGCGCAGGTCTCCAGTCTGCCCTGTTGTGCCAGTTTTCCCCGCGAACAGTGACCACTTGCTAATGAAGGTTTCCCGTGGGGGCGGGGGGTCGGGGAGTGGAGGTAGTGGGAGGTGGGTGGGTGCTGGTGTGTCCTCTCTGTTTTTCACACCCCCCCCACCCCAGTCTGAAGTCTATCCTGAGCCTCGGTCACTGTTGCTTGGAGGACGTCGTCTCTCCAGCTTTGTGCCCCTTGACCCCCAAGAGGTAAAAGGTCAGAAGCTGTTTCCTAGCCCCTCAGAACAGAAATGTGGCAGAGGATTGTGTGCAAACCAGTTTCTGAATGTGTTGTGTGTTTTATTTTGGCAGGAGCCCCTGGCCGAGGAATTTGAAGACAAGGAATGGACGTTTGTTATCGAAAACGTAAAGCTAACCTCTCCCATACTGTTCAAACTCACAAGGGTTTTCGATTGAGTGAATAATGAGGCAAAGTCTCCAGGGGTAGGAGGGTGGGTGACCCTAGGGGACACATATATATCGGGAAAAGACCCAGAGGTGAGTAGGAGGAGACTACAAGACGGGGAGAGGTGAGACATCAGGAGGGTGAGTTTGTTAAGTGGTTGAATTGTGCAGCTCTTTCACAGGCACAGCACCGGCTCGATGTGCGGAATGGCCTTTGCCTGCCTGGATGATTCCACGACAGGAGCCAAGTCCAAGTGTTAAACTTTCAAACAGTGCCTTGGAAAGCCCAAGCTCCCGAAAGAAACACAATGTTGCTGCCTTTCCCCTTGGAACGATCAGGATAGAATCGCAAGAATGCCAAAACTGAAAGGGAACAGTATGGAAAAAAAGGATGGCTTGCAGGTGGCTCCGACTGAGCATAAGGGCTAGGAGCAGGAGCAGGCCATTTAGCCCTTCGAGCCTGCTCTGCCATTCCACACAACCGTGGCTGATCCCATCTCGGCCTCAACCCCACATTTCCTGCCCCCCTCCCTTTAACCCCATTACTGATTAAATATCATCCTGACATTTATTCAGTGACCCCCCCCCCCCACCCCCGTCACTCTGGGGAAGTGAATTCTGCAGTCTTGCCAATCACTCCTTCTCCTGAAAAGATGTCCTCTCCTCCTAGATTTCCCCACACAAGCAAACATCCTCTCTTCATCTACTTTGTCAGTCCCCTTTAGCGTCTTATAGACCTCCATTAGATCTCCAGTTGTTCTTCCAAACTCCACAGAGTATCAGCCCGCTGCTCAATCTCTCTTCATAAGACAACCCCCCCTCATTTCTCGAGTCATCCTGTAAACGTGGGATCAGAAATTTATAAGCATGCGTCATTTTAAGGCCCAATAATATTCAATGGTTTGGCCACTTTTGGAATACAGCGTTCAGTTCGGGTCTCCCTGCTGTAGGAAGGATGTTGTGAAACTTGAAAGGGTTCAGAAAAGATTTACAAGGATGTTGCTGGGTTTGGAGGGTTTGAGCTATAGGGAGAGGCTGAATCGGCTGGGGCTATTTTCCCTGGAGTGTCGGAGGCTGAGGGGTGACCTTAAAGAGGTTTATAGAATCATGAGGGGAATGGATAGGGTCAATAGACAGGTTTTTTCCCCTAGGGTAGGGGAGCCCAAAACTAGAGGGCCATAGGTTTGAGGTAAGAGGGGAAAGATTTAAAAGGGACCTAAGGGGCACACAGAGGGTGGTGCGTGCATGGAACGAGCTGCCAGAGGAAGTGGTGGAGGCTGGTACAATTACAACATTTAAAAGGCATCTGGATGGGTATATGAATAGGAAAATCTCTAGCTCTTTAGGCTGATCTGTGCCCTGACTCACTGCGCTGACTCACTGTGAGTATTGTAAACAGTGTGCAAATCTATCATTATACTAGCATTGGTACCGGATGTGGGATTCGAGTCACATATCACTGTCGGCCTTGTAAGGGGAGATCCACTCCCTTCCATAAACACTATTCATGAACCTGTCACCTGACCATCGTTTATCAACATTGCTGCAGATTGGTTAACCCGTTATTCACCTGACTAATGTGTCCCATCCAGGACAAAGCAGTCCCCGCTTTGATTGGCACCACATCCACAAACATCCCACTCCCTCCACCCACCGACGCTCAGTCGCAGCAGTGTGTACCATCTACAAGATGCCCTGCAGTAACTCACCGAGGCTCCTTAGACAGCACCTTCCAAACCCACCACCACTTCCATCTAGAAGGACAAGGGGCAGCAGATACATGGGAACACCACCCCCTGCAAGTTCCCCTCCGAGCCACTCCCCATCCCGACTTGGAAATATATCGGTCGTTCCTTCAGTGTCGCTGGGTCAGAATCCTGGAATTCCCTCCCTAAGGGCATTGTGGGTCTACCTACAGCACACAGACTGCAGCAGTTCAAGGAGGCAGCTCACCACCACCTTCTCAAGGGGGCAATTAGGGATGGGGCATTGTATCGTGGCTCAGCCCATGAGGTCCATGTTGCAGGAATGTATGAAACTTGCTACATGAACTGTATGTTCAAAATGGTTCATTTGCTGCGAGGTATATCTCCCCATGGAAATAAGATTTCTGTTGGAGGGGAGAAAATGAGAGATTTAGAAATAACTTGTGTGTACCTTGAGGCAAGAATCATGAAACCTCTGTCTGGTTCTCCTCCTCAGGAAAGCAAAGGGCGTCGCAAGGTGCTCGCATCCGCCGACATAAACATGAAGAAATATGCCAGCCCGATGCCCACCGTCACCGACGTCAAGCTCAAGCTCAAACCTCTCTCTGTCAAGGTCATCTGTGCCACGCTGCAGTTCTCCCTCTCCTGTGTCTTCCTCCGAGAAGGACGAGCAACGTAAGTGACAGCTTTCTCACTCCATCTCACTCTCCGACAGTGCGGCGCTCCCTCAGCGCTGACCCTGCGACAGCATGGCGCACCCTCACTGCCAACACTCCAACAGCGTGGTGCTCCCTCAGCACTGACCCTCCGACAGTGTGGCGCTCCCTCAGCACTGATCCTCCGACAGTGCGGCACCCCCTCAGTCCTGCCCCGCCAACAGTGCCCACTCCCTCAGCACTGACCCTCTGACAGTGCGGCGCTCCCTCAGCACTGACCCTCCAACAGTGCCCACTCCCTCAGCACTGACCCTCCGACAGTGCCCACTCCCTCAACACTGACCCTCCGACAGTGCGGCGCTCTCTCAGCACTGACCCTCCGACAGTGCCCACTCCCTCAGCACTGACCCTCCGACAGTGCCCCCTTCCTCAGCACTGACCCTCCGACAGTGCGGCGCTCCCTCAGTACTGAACTTGGGAGTGTTTACGTTTCTGGTCTGACATGTATACCCCTGAATCAGAGCTGAGCGTTGTTCCCGCTTGTAGCCACAGCTAGCAGCCGCTAATAGCTGTGAAACATGTTGCGTTGTGAGTACCATTGGCTGCGGTGACGGGGTACAGAATCGCGAGATGATTGTGTCAGTGTTTCCCCAATCTTGTGTGGCTGTCATCTCAGTGTAACCCAACCCTGAAAGCCTGGCATTGTTGTTGTTGTCCCTGTAGGGATGAGGATATGCAAAGTCTGGCCAGCCTGATGAGCGTGAAACAGGCTGACGTCGGTAACTTAGATGATTTTGCTGGGGAGAGTGACGAGGAGGGAGATGATCGCAAGGTACATCAGGAAGATAAGGCTGGTAGACTGAAAGGTGAGTGCCTATTCAGACTGGACTGGCCCTCTATCCACCAACCTGTAAACGTTGTCCTGAAAAGTGTTCCCTTTGTGTCTCCGTGCTTTTTCTGCCCTCTTCCCAAAGCGTCCTCAGGCTTCTATGTGTCAACCATTTGAGTGGGTGCCGAGGCCAGTTTTGTCCTAAAGTGTTTGTTCAATGGCAAACCACCATCCACAAGGCACAAGTCAGGAGTGTGATGGAATTCAGCGCCCGCTTTGATTGGCACCACATCCACAAACATCCCACTCCCTCCACCCGCCGACGCTCAGTCGCAGCAGTGTGTACCATCTACAAGATGCCCTGCAGCAACTCACCGAGGCTCCTTAGACAGCACCTTCCAAACCCACCACCACTTCCATCTAGAAGGACAAGGGCAGCAGATACATGGGACCCCCACCCCCTGCAAGTTCCCCTCCGAGCCACACCCCATCCCGACTGGGAAATATATCGGCCATTCCTTCAGTGTCACTGGGTCAGAATCCTGGAATTTCCTCCCTAAGGGGCATCGTGGGTCTACCCACAGCACACAGACTGCAGTGGTTCAAGAAGGCACCGCCTTCTCAAGGGGGCAATTAGGGACGGGGAAATAAATGCTGGGCCCAGCCAGCGATGCCCACGGCCTATGAATGAGTGTTTATTCTGTGACTAACATTTAGCGATGAAAAATTGCAAACAGTTGACAGTTAATGCTGAATTATAGACAACAGTCTAGAGAGTCTACTTACGTAATCTTTGACAACAAACTGTCTACAAAGGCAATTTAAGTAATGAACGACAGCAAAAAACCTACAGTCTACTTAAATAGTGAACGATAGCAAACAGTCTACAGAGTTTATTGAAACAGTGATTGACAGCAAACAGTCTACAGGGTCTATTTAAGAAGTTAATGATAGCAGACAGACAACAGACTCTATTTAAACAGTGAACGAAAGCAGTCTACAGAGTCCATTTAACCAGTTTGCAACAGAATCTAAGCAGAGTGTCTGCTAATTACAGCAAACGGAACTGTTGATTGAAACTTTCAGCAACGTCTTCTGATAAAATTAGGGGTTTTTTTGGCAAATTGCGGGCTGTGAGAGGATAATGATTTTTGTAAAAAAAAAAATCCCATGGGTAGTTTTGATCGGAGCCCCTTACAAGCAGTGTGATACCTAGTTATCTCCAATTTGGCCAGGGTCCAGCTCCATCAAACATGGCCCTGTACTTCCTCATGCTTCATCCCTTTCTAACCTGATCATTTTCAGGTTCCTGTTTCAAACCTGTACTGAGCTGAACCTCATGCCAGTCAGTTACTCAGTTGCTTGATATACTTGCATGTGGTTTGGGGTCTCCTCATTTGAGGAAGGATGTTCCGGCTACAGAGGGAATGCCACAGTTTCCCACTCCGATTCCTGGGATGGTAGGACTGACGTATGGAGAGAGACTGGATCGGTTAGGACTATATTCACTGGGGTTTTTAGAAGAATGAGAGGGATCTCATAGAAACCTATAAAACTCTAACAGGACTAGACAGGATCAATGCAGGATGTTCCCGATGACCCGGGGAGTCCAGACCCAGGGGGTCACAGCCTGAGGATTACGGGGGTGGGGGTGGGGCGGCATTTAGGACTGAGATGGGGAGAAATGTCTTCACCTGGAGAGTGGGGAACCTGTGGGATTCTCTGCCACAGGAGGTTGGGGGTCATGGGTGGACAGATGGGGAAGCAGAACGGAGGTCACAATCAGACTAAGTATCAGAGAGTACGGCACTCACTGGGGCCAAACGACTCACTTTTTCTCTCGTACCATATGATTTCTTACCACCCCAGCGGTCAGCAAGCCGATGTTGTTCCTGAGCGGGGATAGGTTTGCGATTGTGGTGGCAAAAATACACAAAAGGTTCGTGTGTGGAATGAGCTTCCAGAGGAAGTGGTGGATGCGGGTACAGTTGCAACATTTAAAAGACATTTGGACAAGTACGTGAATAGGGAACGGTTTGGAGGGATATGGGTCAGGAGCAGGCAGGTGGGACTAGTCTAGTTTGGGATTGTGGTCAGCACGGACTGGTTTGGAGCGAAGCTGCTTCTGTGCTCCATGGCTGTAGTTCTCACGTATTTGATTACTTTAGTGAAGGGCTGAGATACGGGTTTAAAGGTTAGAATTAGCAATGACTGCTATCTGTGAGATGGCCTGTGCGCTGTTTGTCTGACCTGCTGCTATTTCTGTCTCTGCCTGCCCGTTCTCTGAAAACGCCCTCTCCATTCTGTCTCAGGTTTTAAGTTCCTCTTGCGCACAGAGCAGCTGAGAGGTGGGTGACTGAGACAATAGGGGCTGCCGTGTGTGTGTTGTGTGCCATTAACATCCCCCCGTCCCATCCCCTCCCCCTGAATCCACTCCGGGTTTACAGAGAGATACCGCACGTTGCTCCATGGTGTAGTCCAGCCCTGGTGTTTGAAATGGCTCTCTCTGGCTCTGTTTGTACAAAGACTCCCCACCCAGCCCATCAACTCATGGCCTTGTTACCGTAATCCACAGATTGCTGTCCCCCGTCTGAAACTGACACCCGTTACCGTAATCCACGGATTGCTGCCCCC